GGATCTGGTGCTACGTGGCATCCAAGTCATCAAGGACAGTCTTCTTCGTTACCCACGACGACCACATGCACAACAAGCAGAACCTATGGACATCGACGCCACAGACCATGTGAGTGTAGCATCCTCGGAGCGACGACCCAAGGCAAAAGCCCGACCGCGACGCGGAGGCGAAGCCGTTCGGAGCGACGTTGTCTTGATCCGCTACGAGAACATGCACAACCTTTGCACGGAGGTGGAGAACCGTCGAGGCCTAAATGATGCTTGCGGTGTACCGCTTCGGGACATAGGACCCGAGAACAGCCAGCGGGTGGTGGATCTCATTGATCAGCTTTCAGACCATCGCGACCGACGGCTACCTCAACGAGGAGATCGTCCAAGCTTTGAGTTCGATGAAACTACTCGGCAATGGGCAAATCCTGGCTATGAATCCATTGGAGGCGCAAGACGAATCCGCTGTGGGATTCTCGATCTGATCCCGACCAAGAGCGCGAGTTTCATCAACAACAGATGGGACATTGTGAACGAGGTCGTTCCTCGCAACCTCACTTATCATCGAAGAAAGAACGCTGACTGGGCTCTGTCCTGCATTCAATCGGACTTACGTCACAGAATTGCAAGGCGCCCAGGATCGGAATGGCTCGACAACAGATGTCAAGTCGCGTTCAACAGTGTCATTCGATGTGATGAAGGAGGGTGGGTGCTGATCGATGACTTGGTCAGGCAAGAGCAACTTTGGACCCACGAAAGCAGACGCATTACCGAAGCGGTCTCAAGGACCGATGAAGACCAGAAGAAGAGAGTGTACAATGAGAGACTGCAGCTACTGTTCCAGGGAAACATGCTTGCAGCCACCAAACGCCACAAGGCCAAGATCCGGCTGCAGTTCCTGGGCGTGAGAGTGAAACATCCTGGCACAGAGACTCTTGGACCTGCGAACTCGGACATGCTGGTGTCAGTTCCAGACCAGATCACGGAGATCCAGATCAACGACCATTGCCGACACAGTCAGCGGTACCTGAACGTCTGCAATGGCTGGGTCAAGCCATGGGCTGTTCGTGCCAGCAGTGGCCACTCTACGCATTCCGATCCCCAGAACAATTTGCTTCAGTTGGACAAGGACAGGTTCGCAATATCTCCGTCCATGACCCTCTTGACGCGTCTCGGGGGCGCGTTCCACGCTAGAGCATGCCGCAATCTGGATTCCATTGTTCTGCAAGGCGTTATGCCTGGTTCGGAGGATCCTGACGGGGACTTCGACCATCGGCGACAGTTTCAGGACAACCGAGGCGGCCGACTCCACAGTTACTGGGGGGTATTTGCACCGTTCGACAGCCGGAACGCGACGACCAAGACTCGGGTACATGGGCCGCAAGCCAAGCATATGCCACTTGTGGTCTTGCATGTCGCTTCAACAGACCTTGCCCGAGAAGGTGGACGTATCACTGACAGCGGTGTCATCATCGTTGGCCGAACGATATCGTTCCAGTTCGTGAAGGAGGTATGGTTTTGCGTACCGAATCCCCAAGACACACATTCCTTTGCTCTGGTGGAAAAGATTTATGATGAACGATTGGAGAAAGAGATGGTGCTGAACTACTACGGATCCCCATTGCTCCCTGAGTTCGAGAGATATCGTACGCCAAGCAAGCTCATGGAACTGCTTTGCGAGATGCCTCCAGGACCCCATGACACAAGCAAGGAGCAGATGTTGCGAGACCTTACGACTGTGCTGGAGTCTCATCGGGAGAACACGGTTCGGCATCACTTCATGGACAAGGCCATAAAGTTTATCATCAAGAACTGGCGACCCGAAGACCTTCGAAGAGACGAGGACGGCAGGAGAATGAGGGTATGCCCGGCGTGCTACAACATCGTTCCTGCATGCTTTGCTCGATGCACGTCTTGCTGGTCACAATTCGTTTCTTGCGGTTACTACCAAGGTGCTCCACAACGGGATACTCCTACGGAGATTCCGAGTGAGTTCATTGCTCAGACAATGGAGGCTGCGGCTGCAGCAGTACCCGAGACGACCGTTGAGGAACAGGAAGCCTTGGAGGTAGAGACGGTTGGGGAACCTGAAGCAATTCCAGAACCATCCGTTGCGGGCGATGATGATCCAGAACAGGAACCTGATGAAGAAATGGATGCCGAGCCGGAAGCGGACTTTGATGACGAAGTACCTGTCGCAGTCGCACAGGAACGACGTCCGGTCCTCATCGCTGGTCAGTCCTTGAACATCGACCCTGAACTTCAGATTGCCCGCACTGCCATGCAGCCACCTTATTACCACAACAAGCGAAATGCCCACTGCATTGACGCCAACATGGCAGCTCTTTCGTATATGGCATTCGTGGTATGCAGGTGCATTTACAAGACATGGTCAGGCTTCGCTAAGTGGACAACTATGCCGCTGTTTCAGATGAAAGAGAATCTCGCGATGGGACAACGCTATGATGTACTCGGAAAATGGGGGGCTCTGGCTGAAGTGGACCCGGAGACCGGTGTGAGCAAGGAGGTGACTGATGAGGAAATCCTTCGCTTTGCCAAAGAACCCGAGAACATCAAGTCGTATGATCCCAACGGGACTTACACTCTGAAGCGCTTCCGGACGAACCAGATGGTCTCATTATTGGTCAGGGGAGCCAACATGATGGGAATCGGCAGGGACAACTTCAATCCATCTACGTACCTGAAAGGTGAAAGGGAGGAAGACGTGAAAGCAATGCACTTTTGTTGCCTGAACGTCCTATGTGAAGTTATTCCCATGGTGACAGGACACTCTCAGTTTTCGGTGCTACGACCCACACCATATGGTCCGGTGGAATTCTTGTACATCGACCCGGTCGGTATTCTCTTGACACATGCAGATCACTCTGTCCAGACGATTAGCTTACTGGTAGATCACAACGTGCAAATGCCATCACATCTTTTGGACAAGCTGGTCAAAGCCAGAGTCGAGAAGGAGCAGCACCCGAACGCCCGACGTCCCGGAGCATTACATCGTATCTCCGCCGAGGAATATCTCCCGCAGGGTGGTACCTCCATCATGGACACGCCCGTTACAGCAGAGGAACGCGCAAACGCTTCTTCAACAAGGGCATCATCGAAAGGCCGTGGGAGAACTGGAGGTGGTCAGCATGGAGATTGGAACACCAATTCTTACCATGACTACATCACCAGTAAAGGCCGAAGCAAAGGCAAAGACAAGGGAAAGCAGAAGGGTCAGCATCCAGAGGAGAACCTCAGGCCCTGGGAACGCGATCCCGCGTCGACGAGAAGATGGTGGAGAGACAACGCCTGATCCACGACATCTTCTAGCATGTGACCTCTGCATTCCGCACGCGAACTTCATGCGAATGCTTCTTTCTTCGGTGACGCCTGATTCGTTTGCCATTTCAGGGGATCGTTACCGACGTAGCTGAGTGTCACGACGCTTTTAATTGGGATGCAAGGCTCTGATCCATATGTCAAAGTTGCGGCGGAAATTTTCTGATCTTCCTATCGTGCCATCTTCCGGGTGAGCAGCGTCTGAGACGCAACTCATGGGGGGTGCGAACGGACTACGATGCCTTGTCAAGTTCTAAGGTGTCACTATAAGAGCTGTGAGCAAGACTGTGTAAAGTGCGAGAGAGGAGGCACGCTACGCGTCCCTCGTCTCTAGGTGTAGGCTTGTGGAAGTGCTACGCACACCGCAATGCCTATCCAACCTATGTGTATGACCGCCCATGCAACATTGGCTCAAGAATGAGCACAAGCTCTAGAAAGCATTGCCCGTAGCTAAAATAGCTACTTGTCTTCTGTGACATCCGAGGGACAGAGCCATCCCGTGCACAAACAATCCATCGCTGGCCGCGAGGGTGCAAAACAAGCGAGCTCTGGATCTGCCTGCATACGAGCGTGGCTTGTGAGTGTGGAAGTGAGTGTGACAGTGATCGAGTCTGTAGAGGGCAACCACGCCATTATTCAATATAGCTCTTTGTGGGGTGAGCGACAGCGAACATCATCAAGATCAAATCCCCACGCAGTAGAAGTGGTAGAAGTAGTAGAAGTAGTAGTAGCAGTAGCAGTAGCAGGAGCTTTGGCAGAAGCAGTTGCAGCAGCAGCAGCAGCAGCAGTCGCAGTCGCAGCTGCAGATGCAGTGGCAGCGACAGCGGCCGTGGTTGTGGTTGTGGTGTTGCGAGTTGGCAACCAGGTCTCTGATCCTGTTTCAGAGAGATGGGCGGTTTAGGTCCTTGTCTCTGCCCGGATGACTCAGTCACTTACAGCGGATGACCCAGTCACTCACAGGGAAAATTAATCTCAAATTCCAAAATCCGGCTAGCACCGCCCAGGAAAACAGCAAACTCTTTCAGAATTCCTCTGGCGGCACTCTCTGCGAAAAGGTCGAGGCAGCGCATTTAAGGGTAGTGATGATATTCAAGTATCTTCTGTTACCTGAATCTGCCAACCCTTAGCCTAAAAACCCATACCTTAAACCTCAAACCCTACAGCCCACACCCTGAACTGCTGACCGAACAGCAAGAAAGTTTGACAAAGCCTCAAAGAAGTGCGATGGCCAAAACCTGAGGGCATCAGCATTTATTGCACCGGATTGTGGGTTGGGGTTTCTCGGCAGGTGGATGCAAAGTAGCTTGCCAAACGCACACGAGCTGATCAATGACGTGCCCTCCAGAGTTCCGGAGGGTGAATACTCCATATTGGTAAGGAAATCCGGCAGCTCACTATTCTTTCAGGCCACGAGTACGACGTTCTCCCTGGCCAACGTGGACTGCGACGACGTGCAGGCCAGCATCGCGGCGTGGCCTCGCTTACTTTCGATGTCATGAGCTTGGTCGGATCAACAGTCCATCATGCCGTTTGATCTGATGCCAGATGATGGGGGAGTGGGTCGCCAAGCACACAAGCCACGGTGCCACGGAGTATGGAGCATTGAACTCTGAGTGCTTGCACAGGACCAGTTTTGGAGTTTTGCAGCCGGGGATTGTGCCTTTGGTGTGGACATGGCCTGGGCCTCGGTGACGTGCAAGACTGCCGGAAACAGGGCCTGACTTCCATACCTGCACTTCTTAAGACTATGTTGACCTGCATCGATCAGAACAACAGCGGCGCATCACAGGTCTTGCACGCTTGATCACGCTTGCAATTTCGACAACTGCCCTGCTTCTGCTTGCTAGACCTACCCGATGAATTTTATGCTTGTTCTACACGCAATCTTGTGCGTGGTCAGACCAAGGCCTCCGTCATCGTTTCCACAATCGCATCATCACCATCATCATATATCGCCATAGTGCTGCACTCTGTACCATCACCTTCATCGCTTTCTTCATCCATGTAATCAGTATCATGAGCAGATTCTCATCACCATGACCAACATTAGCCCTGTCGTCCGCGTCACGCGTAGCATTGCACGACGAAGGCAATCGTTTTTTCAGATGCGGCTGTTGGCATAAGAGGTTAGGGCCCGGAAAACCAGAAGTGAGCTAGCTCGCCTCTCTCTCTCTCTCTCTCTTTCTCTCCCTCTCTCTCTCTCTCTCTCTCTCTCTCTCTCTCTCTCTCTCTCTCTCTTTCTCTCTGGGTCGGACAAGCCCCCGAAACTTGAACCGCATGTTCGCACGTTGAGAGGTGGACGTTGCGGACCGATCGTGGAACTTTTCTGTCCCGTCGGAAGGATCTGGGCCAAGCAGACCATGTTTCAGCCATGGTTCTCTGTCCAGGGTGAAGTCTTGCCGCTGTAAGAAAGTGTAAATGCCCAGATATGTTCCTCACATCTCCTCAACGTCTTGCCTGTCGAGCGTGCTGGATGCAAGCGACCCGATCATCATCATCACCATCATCACTGTCATCACCATCATCAACATCATCAACATCATCATCATCATCATCGTGAGCATTCGTGGTGGGGTTGGTAGTAGGTGGATCGTCGTCGTAGCTGTTGTCTTGATCGTCAGCTTCCAGTAGTAGCACTGCGACCTGATCTCGAATCGATGTTGAATGTCGAAGCCTGTCGAAGGAGGAGAGCTGACCCTGCAGCTGCTGAACTTCACGCCGGAAACCCACCGTCCTGTTGTACCGGACACCACGATACAAGGGTTGCACGGCTTGGCCTTCGTGACGGGTTCATGAGTTTGTTTGTTCATCACGAGCTCTATCGGGTCTGGCGAAGCTTTCTGGGCTCGTCTTCGCAACCTTAGGTTGGTTGAGAATGGCGGTCAACCCCACCAAATATAAGATGGACTAGAACCAAATTGTGCCGCTTAGTTTTGACAACGCTGACTCGGTCAAGCAGCTCGACCTTTGACTCGAAAAACTAGCTTGGCGTCCTGCACCTGGGATTTGCTCAAGGTTTTCGCTGCTACGCACCTTGCCGCGACCCCCACAGTGTCCCTGGACTAGAGAAGCTGAAAATGAGCTGCAGTCACAAACCGAAACTGCCTGAACCTTGTAGGCCGGGAACAGGTTGGCAGTGTCAAGCCCAAGATAGCCGTTGCAGGATCTGTTTGATGTCGGCTACTTCTTGGCCCACGGAGTTTCTCGGCTGCATGAGTTTCAGGGTTTCACTGTAAGGTTTCTGTAGGTGTACTACTCCTGATGAGGAAGACTACTCTGATGCAATTTATGAGCTTGTCAGAATAGAGTTACTCATGACTGCTGGCAGCAAGCAGGGAAAGAAGGCAAGTGGACAATGTGCCATTAAGCATGGAAGGAAACTGGTGAAGATTCAAGACAAGAGGCCATGGCTCCCAAGGTCTTAAGGCACCAGTTGACGAAGCCAAAGAAAAACTACCGCATCAACATCCATCAACCTGACCCCTACAGTTGCCTTCAGCTTGTCTTTTGACAGACAGATTTCACAGCCAAAGACTGGGAAAGGAGCTTCAGCTATTTCATCATGTTTCCGCAGCTTTTCTGACAACTGCTGTTATCGTTGTCATTATCACTGCTCTTAGATCTCTTAGTCGCTGCTCTCATCAGGTTCATTGTTGATAGTATTCCTGCTGTTCTCCCGTTCGGGTCGCCCATGGGCAACCCATGGGCTTTCTGTGCTTGCAGTTCCAAACAAACACTTTGAAGCTCGTACATGAAACCTCTCGGGGGCAAAAGAACTTGCAGGGAAGCCACAAAACCATGCGGGTGGACCCCTTCCGCACTGAGCGGATGAGTTCTGCAACCCACGGATCAGCCGACCACGTTTCAACGCGATTAAGTTCGCAAGACATACACGATTGGAAACACTGGGCGCAGCGAAGCACAGCAATTCTGCATCGGTGGTGTGACAACAGCCGGAGAAAAAAAAACACGACCGAGGTGCCTGGCTTGCCCACGGAAAGGGTGGCTCCCATCCTGAGCCGTGACTTGCTGCACGAGAGAATTGAGGAGTAATTCGAAGCCGAAACAGCTGCTTTTTTGAGCTAGTGCGCGTTGGTCCTCGTTCTTCGGGTTACAGAGCGTGATGCTTCTTGACCAGGTTCCTACCGCACAGTTCTTGCATTGTCAGTTTTGTTCCGATGCCGCTCGGTTGGCGTGATTCCGACTTCCCCAGTTTTAGCTGATGCTTTTCTGGCATTACGTTCCTCGCTTTGCAAACCAAGGCAAGGTTCAAACACAAAGTAAGTGAGGACTGCAAGGAGAAAACGCAGATGCTCAAAGCGACTTCAGTGAATCATAAGAGATGCTCGCGGAAGGTCACAAGTGTTCACGACAATCTGTCGAAACCTAGAATCTAGAAAGCTCCTGGCAATTAGCAAGGGCAACAGACTCACAAGACATCAAGCTGGTTTGTCGAGAGCGTGCTGCGGGCTCTCCATTGTTTCTTAAATGCTGCAGCTTACGCTCCAAGGCGATCTACTGGGCTGTGCGAAACGACTCCGGCAACCTGACGCCAGTAACTTCGCCAGTCGTGGGTGCAGGCGGCGCCGTTGTTGCATGACCAGATGTCCTTGGCAGCCCACTAAGACAGTGCGAGCGGGCTGTCAGATGGGATGTGGGGTGGGATTGGTGGGTGGTCAGATTGTTGTGGAAGGCTGAGAGGGCCGTGTGCTAGTCCGGAAGAGAGCTCTGACTTGTATCAATCCTGGCCTTCACCATGCACGCAGAACTCTCGGAGAGGGTTGGATCTGGTGTGGGCTGCTTCGGCAGAGGTTTGTTGGCTTGGTGGATCGGAGTAGAGCTTCGTAGGTGAGAATGGAAAGGTTTTTTATGCTTGCTACGCAGGCTCCAAAGAAAAGAGTCCTGCAAGCGCTCGCTTTGACCTCCGCCAGCGCAAGGTGGCTTTGCATTTCGATATGTGTATCCACGTGGTTACACCATTGCCTGGTACCTGTCCGCAGAGGACGGGCTGGGACCTGGAAAGGCCATGGAATTCAGTTCACATCAATGCAGCCAAAGCCCTTGAATTGCACGTTTGCGCTTCCTCTCGATGCATTTAAGCGGTATGACGCTTCAGGGTGCAATCATGCAAATTCATGTATGAGGTTTAGCTTCGACAAAAGTGTGTCTTTATAGTTAAGAGCGTGTCTTACGGTATCGAATATCTGGCGCTGTGCAAATCTAATTCGTACTTACAGAATGTTTTCGACTCCGTGCACATGTAGCTGATCTGAGACTCCGAAAAGCAGGACGATTTGCCGTACTACCTGTACGACTCGAACAACCGTGGCTGGAACAACAGTGATGTGCGGATGATGCAGCAGCCCGTGTGTCATGGCTGCGAAGTCTGCAGAGATGTGTGGGTCAGGTTGTGGGTGTTCTGCTGGGAGTTTCTGTGCTTTCTGAAGAGGGCCTTGAAGAGGCAGTGTTGTCAGTGTTGTTTATTTTGCGACTAATTTGGGGAAATCGTGAGAATCCGGTACGTGCATCGCGAGAACCCTCTTGGATCCGGTCGACTCGGCAGGTTGGTCAATGCACTGCCAGCGACTGCCTTCTGGGACATCGAGTACAACAGCAGTTCAATCAACAGTTCAAGCTACACCAACGGGACGATTAAGAACATTGCCACTGGGAACTACATCGCTGGACCTGTTGCAAAGATGGCAACTCAGGATGCTTGGCACCGAGGCGACAAGGCTTGTGGAAACAGCTTCCTCACAGGGTTGCGGGTCGATGCTGCAGGAAACCAGTATTATTCGTGTTTTGAATGGGAGGGCTGGAGCGATCCTTCATGTGGGCAATCATCAAAATTGTCAAATTGTATCAATTACCCCAGCAGTACTGGTACATCCGATGGTGTGCTCATCACTTGCAGCGCGTCAATTTCGGATGGGTATCCACTAGGCGACCATGCGTTGACACACATCACGAACATCAACTTCCCGGCCCGTGGTGACCAGGTGCAGGACGCCAACTACAACTACGGATGTTGTACAGTTTGCTTGCGCGGGCTGCCACCATATGTTGCCGTCCTGAGTGACTACAATGGCAACAGCGACCACAAGGAGTGGAAGACCTTGTCGAGACACTCCGCGAAAAACAGGGACAACATCTACTGGGAGTACTCTTGCCACGACTACGGAATCCTGCAAGGCGTTCAGTGGGGTAAGGAATCCGGCTACGCGTATTGTTTGAGAGCAGTGTTCTATGGCCCGGACGTTTCGAGCAAACAGCTGACGGCGAGGACACGCAGTTTCATGGTATTCAGCCCTAGCCAAACCCTCGAGCAGCTGATGCCACTAAATGCACATTTACATGCACGAATGTAAACTCTCTTCAGTCAGCCTCCGTTTGACTACAGGGTCTGCGAGCCTTATGTAATCTTACGTACAAATCTCTGCCCCGCATCCCGCAGGAATTTGCCGGCGGATCCCATCCAAGACATGTACAGGGTGTGGTCCTTTCGTTTTCATGTGCCGTGCATTGGAGCGGCTTGCACGGAGGTGACCTGCACTTGTGACACCCCGCTGGCTGGCATCAGAGGGGGCAAGAACTGCATGACGTGCAGCAATGGCACTACTCATTGTTGTGGTGATGGCTTGACATGTGGGACGACGGAGGTCTTCGATTTTGCAGATGTGAATAGTCAGGCTTGTACTGCTGATGTGCTGTGCACATGTGACACCCCACTGGCGACTGGCAACAGAGGGGGCAAGAACTGCATGACGTGCAGCGATGGCACTACTCCTTGTTGTGGTGATGACTTGACATGTGGGACGACGAAGGTCTTCGATTTTGCAGATGTGAACAGTCAGGCTTGCACTGCTGATGTGCTGTGCACATGTGACACCCCACGGGCTGGCAACAGACTGGGCATGAACTGCATGAAGTGCAGCGACTTCACTACTCCTTGTTGTGGTGATGGCTTGACATGTGGGACGACGGAGGTCTTCGATTTTGCAGATGTGAACAGTCAGGCTTGTACTGCTGATGTGCTGTGCACATGTGACACCCCACTGGCGGCTGGCGACAGAGGGGGCAAGAACTGCATGACGTGCAGCGATGGCACTACTCCTTGTTGTGGTGATGGCTTGACATGTGGGACGACGAAGGTCTTCGATTTTGCAGATGTGAACAGTCAGGCTTGCACTGCTGATGTGCTGTGCACATGTGACACCCCACGGGCTGGCAACAGACTGGGCATGAACTGCATGAAGTGCAGCGACTTCACTACTCCTTGTTGTGGTGATGGCTTGACATGTGGGACGACGGAGGTCTTCGATTTTGCAGATGTGAACAGTCAGGCTTGTACTGCTGATGTGCTGTGCACATGTGACACCCCACTGGCGGCTGGCGACAGAGGGGGCAAGAACTGCATGACGTGCAGCGATGGCACTACTCCTTGTTGTGGTGATGGCTTGACATGTGGGACGACGAAGGTCTTCGATTTTGCAGATGTGAACAGTCAGGCTTGCACTGCTGATGTGCTGTGCACATGTGACACCCCACTGGCTGGCAACAGAGGAGGCAAGAACTGCATGACGTGCAGCGATGGCACTACTCCGTGTTGTGGTGATGCCTTGACATGTCGGACGACGAAGATCTTCGATTTTGCAGACGTCAACAGTCAGGCTTGCACTGCTGATGTGCTGTGCACATGTGACGCCCCACTGGCTGGCATCAGAAAGGGCAAGAACTGCATGACGTGCAGCGATGGCACTAACCCTTGTTGTGGTGATGGCTTGACATGTGGGACGACGAAGGTCTTCGATTATGCAGATGTGGAGAGCGCCGCATGTGTCGCGGTCTCTCACGAGGACAACATGTAGAAAGTGATATGTGCACACCTCACTACATGTCTGTGGCAGTAAAGTTGTGCAGGACAGCCCTGAGATCTTCGACGACTTCGTTGCCCTGGGCAGCTGTGAGGTAACTTCGGGACCTTGCATTGCGAGCCTTCCTGTGTCCATCATGGAAGATAACGGATGCGGCATTTCCTTGTTACTACGCATGTCTCGGAATACGGTATAGCAACTACAAGGCGGTAGCTGAACCGACGGGGGCCAGGCGACCAGGGGTGTGGGGTCGTGTGATTGAGGGATTAGTCGAGACCTGGTAGTCTTGTCGGTTGATTCGTTTTTTTCTAGGTCGTTTCGAGGCGGCCGCCTTGCGGTCTATTGCTTTCAGGAGGCATGAGTACAAACAATGGAGACGGAGATGGTTTCCTTTTTCATTTAATTGTCTTTCCAGTGCTCATAGATGTGGGGTGGACCGGCCCTACACAATACGATGAACATGTCACACACCAACCCCCTCACCCCCGCTCTCCTCTCTCTGCCCCTTTCCCACCCTATGAGACAGTGTATTCATTTGTTTATATGTATATATAATTACATATATACATATACATATATATATATATATATATACATACATATATGCATACATGAGTATTTGCAAAAAGGTATTTGCTTTTTTGATTTGCTGATTGCCGCAGGTAAGATGTAGGACAATGCAGAACGTTGTTGGGTTTTGTAATGTGTGTCGCCCATGTCTGCAGCGCCAGGCTACTCTGACCATCGAATCCAAGTCCAACCAGCAGTTGGTGCCCAATGCCACCGATCTTTTGCTGGACGTTTGGCAGAAAGAATACCTGAACACGGCGCAGAGGCCGGGGCCGTGAGAGTTACGGCACACGTAGGTGTACGCAAAATGATCACAGAGCTCAGCTGAAGCTGAACTTATGCGCTGCCGAAACCATGATTTCAGGAGAGACTGCAGCTCAACCACGATGACCCCTCTCAGTAAAGTGCACAGTCCCACACTTGCTTTTTCGTCGACCGTAAGTGTTGCGTATTGTCCTAGCACTTTTTGACCTGAACTTCTGCATCACTGCATCTGTTGCCATAGCTTCCGTGCAAAACCCGTGAAGGCCTTACATACCAAGTACCTTTTGTCACTGCCTATGTTAGCCCTGAGCTTAGCATCACAGAATACGAGATTCAACACTGTATTGGGCCCTGAAGATCGTTTCCAACAGTTGGCATATGAACGCATGCAGCATCTAGAGAAACAGCGTTCGGTTCGGACCTACTTGGTGAAAGGTTGTATATTGTATTGTCTGAGCCCCATGAGCCCGGAGCCGGTGTTTCTTCCCCCAAAACTGTGCAGGCATTTGGCCAACCCTTGTGCCCTTGTGCGCCATATCGAACCATCGTAGCTCAGGCTCAACTAATGGAAGCCTCATCAGACGTGAAGGCCCAGTAGTTTCAATAGTGGATCCTCACACTCCTGGAAACTGGTTCTCCCTCAGGGCGATGTACCAATACGTGCAGCAGTACCAAGTGGTGACAGACAGCCGTGCCGCCCTCGACGTGCAGGGAGTCGCAACAGCACCCTTACTCTCCATAGCTCAGCAGGTACATCTTGTAAACGAGTTACAGCAGCTCATTGAGAAGTTTGCAAGCCCGAATCCGAACGCAGTTCAATCATTCGAAGACCGAAACTACGAAGTGTGCAATGTGGAGCCCTGACTGAATTTCAGTTGGAACAAAGTTGCTTGTCTTCGTCTTCGTAAGTGTCAAGTCTATAGTGAATCTGTGTGGAAGACACGCTCGGAACCAACTGTCGTAAAAGGGACCTCGTATGACCTTGTCCTCGGTCACCTTGCCCACGTTGCGGCAGAATCAAGGCACATGGCGGTATACCTGCTGAATATGGATTGGTCTGTTTTTACTTGAACACCCGGAAGTTTACCACCCGGTCGAAGCTTGTCAGCGAAAGCGTCGGTCGACTTGAGGCGATGGGACATTGACTCTCTTTGCTTGTCAGCAACCTGCCAGTGGGATACGCAGTCTATGCGCTCAAGGGGCACCTGTCCTGCCAGAGGAAGGTTGGGTATAAATAGAGGGTTAAAGGGTGTAGCAGATTTTCGTGGGGCATTGCTCTGAGAGATTCTGCACTTGCAGAACATGCAGGCTTTGTAGTGCGTGATGTGAGTGTGTGAGGTGAAGGCCAACATCGGGGGTATCACGATGTGGTTTCTTTTTTCGCCGTTGCAACTGCATGCAGAAATTCGGGCACAAAGATGACAAATCTATGTTCCAACCTGTCACATAAAGAGGCAGGCTTGCATGGAGAAAACTGTACAGGCAATTTTAGTCAAGAGCCATGTGATCACACAATGTGGCATGCCATGCAGGATGACAGTCGGTCGAACACATTCCGGACGGTTCACCTAAAATGCGTACTTATTCTGACATGAATGCTTCCAGGACTTGGCGGGCTTGTACAGCAATGCTGCTTTGCTGATGAAACTTGGCTGGCCTTTGTCACATGTGCTTGAGATTTGGCACAAAGGTAATGCCAGGCAGAAACTATGGGCACGTAGGCCGTACCCTGCAGACCTTTCATGCCGTGCATTTGGTTGGTCTTCCATGCTTCTCTCAACTCGGTCATTGTTTGTGAGCAGGCACAATCAGTCAATACGAAGTGCAGGCGCGCCCAGCTAGCTGAGCAGCTGTCAGGCTTTCCAGATTTAGCTTTCAAGCCTCAGGATCGAGAAGAAATGCCCGGTACTCCTGAACACATCACTTTTTTTGTATCCATCTGTGGCGACGCCTGTGGAGCTGACCGGGAGCAGCTTTGCAGTCTCTTGACATGAGACAGATATTGCAGGAGTTGCTTCCTCGTAGGAGTTCGAGAGATCCTGCAGCGTCCTGGGCGTGCTATCCAGGCCTTCATGAGTCTCCTCAGCAGCTCGCCCTACAAGACGGTGCCGTTTGCCAACGCCACCGGGTGGCCCTTCTACTTCAATGACACGCGTGGGCACAGGCCACGTAGTCGCATGCGGCAACATGATCTTCAAAAGCTGCCCGGAGCCTGGAAGTCCGCAGGTCTCGTTGTCCGCAAGCAATATACTCATCAATTGGCAAGCATTCTGGCATGAATCTTGAGATGAAGTTTGCCACGGAAGTTGAGCACGTCAGCAAGAAGTAGTTCTGCCCTGGGTCCAGACACTCTGTTGCTTCGACACAGGGCCGAGAATGTGGGGTACCTTAGCATCCCGGAGAACGGAGATGCCAGCACCTGAGAGACAACCCTTGACGAAGTCGTCACTGACAGCGGCAACGCGGCACTCCGATCGCCACGGAAACTGCTGCTGCTGCTGCTGCTGCCACTATTAGTGCTCGTGCCAGTGCCATTTCGAGTAATCACCGCCGATGCCACCACCGCCCCCGCCCCCGCCCCCGCCGCGCCGCCACCGCCACCGCCACCGCCACCGCCACCCCCACCGCCACCGCCACCCCCACCACCACCACCACCACCACCACCACCACCACCACCACCACCACCACCACCACCACCACCACCACCACCACCACCACCACCACCACCACCACCACCAGACCGAGCTGAGCTAGCTAACTAGGTAGCTACCCACCGCAACAGGAAGCAGTTTTTATCACCGTGACAACTACGAGCAAAGCAGTAGTCGCTGTTCGTCTGCGATTGCTTTTAGACTTCGACGAAATGCCGAAGTTGTTGTCTTGTGGGGGTTGAGGGTCTCTGCGTAAAGTTCAAGGTCACCCAAGGTTTGAGGTTGAGGAAATTTGCTGCAAAAATGGGAGACACAAGAATGAAGTGAGTCGAGTCCTCGTAGGGTGATGCGACTGAAGGGTTCAGCCACGAACCCACATCGCTCCAATTCCCCAATCATGTTCCAAGGCTTTTTGGGGCGTGGTCTGCCCAAAAGGCTCCGTGGTGTCGTCACAGGAGACGAATTTCGCAGCATCCCGAGCCAACAATGTGGAAAGCCTGCAAGGCGCACGGCTGATCGAACGTATGTGCCCTGAGGAGGACACCTTCCCTCACTGCCTGGACATCGATGCCGCGTCTTCCCAGGATAGGTCCTGCTGGTATCCTACTGGCGTGCGAAACTTCACGGCCGACAGTTTGTGATGTTCAGACTCAGAAGCGAAAGCACTAATGAGAATCGGGCATCCAGAGTCAGAGCACATCAGGTCTCAAGGCTCACGACTTCAAAATCCACAGCCTGGTGTCAACGCATCATGAGTTTCATGCCCAACCCTCGATCGTGCGTGATCAGTGCCAGAACATCTTCGTTAGTCAGCGCTTCTTCAGGAGATCCTGACGTCCTATTCCGGGTCAGCGACTTGTCCTGACGGCTATGCCGTCAGCGGATGGTACAACTTGCCGGCCATCAAGGTGACTGGATGCGGAGGTTTCTTTTAGTTTTTCGAGTTGTGTGCGATTCACTCAGCCTGATTAGACCTCGTGCCTTGTCGAAGTTTTCTCTTTCAAGGAGCCATGCGTGGTGTCCCAGATTCTCCTTCGGGTACTAAGGTGAAGAAAAGCAACGGCAGTGCCGGAGGCCCACAAAATTGGTGGCTCGCCGAAGAGGGATTCCTAGGGCTTCTTTCCCCACCGGTTTGGTAACACTACATATGGAGTTCTTACGTTAAGTGTAAAAAAGAATTGATTTGTGGCCTTACTCATGTCATTGCTGTATGTGCTGAGTATGGTTCTTGACTGTCCGGGCATGTAAGCTGGCAAAATGCTTGATTAAAGCCTTTGCCGGCCCTACATTGAATGCAGAGGTTTCGAGACCAGGTGCCTAGGTTCCAAGCTCCGACAGTTTAGAATTTATGCCTAATAACCTAATATTCAGGTCAGTGATACTTGTAGAAGAACTCCGACACCAACCAATGCACCTTTGCTGATGATGTCATATCGCGAAGCGATTGGGGCTTTTTTGCCAAGGACTGCACTCCAGCTCTTTTGCCGAAGGACGGGGGCTGGCTTCTTCTGCTTTCTAAAGTGGTGTAGAGACGTGATTACGCCCGTCCGCAGAGAGACTTCGCGAAGCGTTTACTAGTGTTATGAATGTAACTTGTTAACTTTTCACATATTGAACCCTGATTGGGCTTCTCCGCTGTCCTGTCGATTTCCCAGGGACGCATTTTGTTTGTGGATGCAATGACCCTCAGGGTTCAATGATTGAAAGCAAGATTGTGCTTCCGCTCTTGCTCTGCTTCCGAGCTCCAGACAAAGCATGTCCTGTTCTCTGCCTCCCTCTAACAAATGACATGCGCCGAAACAGCACTGGTTGCAACATCGCCAACAATGTTCCCAGTCGGAGGCTTCGGAGGAAGCAGGTGCTGTTGTTGCTGCAGTCTGGACTGTCGCTGAATCCTCCAGGACGTCGCGTATCGACATTTGCAGTGAACCAGCGAAGCCACATTGCGGCTCGGGCCATGTGGTCAACGCGGTCAGCTACGATGCAAACAAGGCAGCTCGACAACTTGAGTTTGAGGGAATTCATCATTTCAGATGCCTGGGACTGCACTGGAGCAGCGCTGCTGTCTCAGTTACCTTCCCGCAGGTACAGAATCTGGGGATTCAACAAGGAGCAATTCTGGAAATCTTGATTTGGATTGGTGGGGTTCAGAGCTTGCGCCCATTGGCGCTGCAAGCCGTGAAGAATGGTGGCCCAAAATGAGGCTCCAGATTCAGTGCCTTGAGCCACACGTGGACCACCTGAGCAGGGGCGGGATTTTGGGGAAGCCGGCTGTCATGCGTAGTTAGTGCTCAGCCAGTCAGGCAGGTGGACCGTCTTAAGCACCCTTACTGCCTGAAGACCTGAACTTGAGCCCTCAAGTCCCTGCGCTGCAACAGCTTTCTGCATTTGGCCGAAACTTTCCAGACTCCACACTGACCACGCTCTTCAGTTCAATCTGGGCTGCTGTCAACTTATGAAGTCAATGGGAACTTGGCTGATGCCTCTCGGACGAGCTGCCAAACCGTGCCGTGGCTGGAGTGTGAGCAGGCTAGAATATGAGACCTGAGTAATTACAAGTTCATTAAGACTCGGTGCTGGAGTAACATGTCATGAGTGCTTGCCAGGGCTTCGATGTATAGTCAGGGTTGGCTCCCATGATAACCGTTAACTATACTACTGTAACTACTAACTATCTACATGACCATGCGTATTCTATTTCTATTGCATCAACGACATCCGAGACCCCGTCACCACCAAATCATTGGGCCCCCATCGCCTTCTATCTGCAAACCAGGGCTGTGACCCAAAAAGACTTATGTATGTGTGCACGCATGCGGGTGTGCACGCTTGTGTGCGTGCGTGTGTGTGTGTGTGTGTGCATGAACGCAAACAAGCTCATTGAATGCCCACGATTTGAAGGCTTGGTCAGCTTCGCTGTATACATTCTTACTCATCAACGGCTCGTTCTTTCGACCCTTGGTCACCTTTCCATGTTGTCGAAGAGCATCATGATGATGGAGCAGCGTCTTTTCCCTTCAGCTTTTGGACGAGCAGACAGAGTTTCACCTACAGCTTTGAACTTCATAGCCGCCACACCTCGCAATTCTGCTTCGAGCCAGCCGATGTGAGAGCACAAGAACTAGAAGCAAGACCCTGCAGCAGACACAGAAGACATGTCGTCCTGAACCTAAGCAGACAACGACGCAGAACCAGCAGACTCCTACGAAACGCTGGTTATTCTACTTCTACAAACTATCCCGTCAATCCTATGTTTGCTGTTCGAGCTGCTCCTATGGTGATTCAGACTTCAGCGACGGCTGCGACGAACCCCCCCCCCCCCCCCCCGGTTGTTCTTCCCAACTTACCTCCTTTTCCGGATTCGGCCCCTCTCCTCTCTTGCTGCGCCTCTCCCTTGCTTTTTCCCTGGACCCCCTTCACTGTCTCGTCCAGTTCCAACTCCTCCACCTCCCCACCGGTGTCCCGCCTGATCAGTTAGACGTGCCCGTATACAAAGGACCAGGTATTCCGCTTGCACACATCCATCTAGGAAGCTCCCAACAGAGCACATGTAGGTCGGCGCGAATGTGCGCGCGCGCGGGTGTGTGTGTGTGTGTGTGTGTGTGTGTGTGTCTGTGTGTGTGTGTGTATATGTGTATATGTGTATATGTATATATATATATATATATATGTATTTGGATGTGCTGTTGCACCTTGTCCCGTTTTCAAGCCTAAGTGTATGTACTGTGCAAAGTGCAGCTGTGCCCAATTGCACACTTCGCATGTCTCGAACATCTTTACACCAGCCACAAGTCTTCAAGTCATAATCTCACATGTTCACGCAATGCTAGATCCTTGTCCGGAAGCAGAGCTGCCAAACAAAGAAAGAGAACGGAGCCTTATGCATTCAGTTCAACGAAGGTATCTGGCCTTTGAGGGATACTATTGCCCGGTGCAGATGGGCTCTGCAGGAGACTTGGATGCTTCTGCGGAGAGACGTAGACTATACCGCGGCCCTTGTACTGGCAGCAGTAGCAGCAGCAGCGGCCATGGCACCAATCAAAACTTTTCGCAGAGTTCCTTCCCGGTAGCAACAGTAGCAGGTTTGTTCCAATCTCATGCCTGGGGTCAGCACCAGCATTACCGCCACCAGGATAGTTATCAGTATGTCCGATGAGCAGCATGGTAACAATTCAATGGAGATAGTGCGGAGGCGTAGGACATGTGACGGCTATGACCCAGACGCGGGTGCTGCGTTTTTGTTCTGATTACAGATGTTGTGACGATGAGTTGTGGGTGCTGCTGAATTGGTGATGATAAACCAGGTTCTGGTGGTGGTGGTGGTGGTGGTGGTGGTGGTGGTGGTGGATGAAGCCAACTGGAGATTGAGGATGATTGTGAAGAAGTAGAAGAAGACTGAGACGGAGACGATGCTGGAGATCAGGAATGACGTTACCAGTTGTGCTTATTGCCACGGCTGTGGTGCAGTTCTAGGTGATAATACGTTATTTGACAATCATGGCGGAGCTGACAAACAACGACAGTGATGAGCAGCATGTTGCACAGACATGAAGGCGATTGGCGCTGGCCCGGTGCTGCTTCGTGGTGGTAGTGGTTGTGGTGATGGGGGCTGTGATCTTCAGGGTCATGCTCAGGGTCGTTCTTGTTTTCGCGATATTCTTGAGCGTGATGTTAATGTTGGTGCAGATGCAGCCACATAATGGTGATAGCGGTGATGATGCTGAGGGTGATGCCAAGTACAACAATGATGATGTGCTGCTGTATTTCCGACCCGTGGGATAGGTTTGCTCCTGAATGCAAAACGTACAACCTCACTATGGCAGGGGCCGCGCATTACAAGAAGACCGCGATATTGGAAATCGGTCAGCCGGGCAACTCCTCGGATCTGAACTACTCTCTAGTTTGGGACAAGCCACAGGGCCGCAGCAGGTTGTACGTGGTTTAGGCATGAGGAGTGAGGGCCCCGAGGCTTCATCAGGGTCGTGTTTGTAGGGCGGGGCGCGCGTGAGTGTGAGTGTGAGTGTGAGAGAGAGTGTGTGTGTGAGACTCCTGTTACCAAACATTTTCTAGTTCTCGAGTAGTGCCAGTATGAGAGCCAGCAGGGGGATCAGGCTGCCAGTGACTGACCTGATCCAACGAAGCTAGATCGCTGGAAGGGAAGTGACTGAGGACGCTCAGTCACGTACCTGCAATTTTCCTTGGCAAGATTGAGTGAGATTGCATTGAGGTAGTCAGGTATGTAGACAGGCACAATTTTATCAAAGCTCAGATTGGAGACCTGCACATGTGTGCTCCAGAGCATTCGTTCAGCGCGCTATCTGCTCCGGGGTTGCCCGGATGATGGTCATGCTAATGACCAGCTGCTGTTCCCTGATCGGAACAACCTGACCTAAGCCTGCTGACACGCTACCGTTTGATGCTTTGCCAGAGCTCCAGTCTGCTGACTATCAAGATGTGTCTTTCAATGTCTCCAACAGAGTATTGCATTGGTTTGATGCAAGGGTTTTGTTCTGAGGATTGCTTCGAATGACACTCTGAGTGGTTCAAGTGCAGCCTTGAAAGCCCGCGTGATTTTCGTTGAGTAGCCATGTGGAGCTCGGATTCGCGACAGTGGTCCAACAGTTCAGGCTATCAGAGTAGTCGTGACTGGAACAAAGGGAAGCAGCAGTCTTGGCAGACTTCGTCCCACGGTTGGTGAAACTCAAAAGCTGAGTCTAGCGTTCCTACTGTTCAAGCTCCCAAGCCGGACATTCCTACGCACTCAAGAGTGACGAGAAATTGTTTGATTCGACTGTTGTCGGCTGCTGTCGGGTCAGGCAATCATCAGTTTTATCGTGTGGTCCAGTCGACCGACTGGTCCAGGAAAGCACAAATTGCTCGAAGGCCAGTGGAAGATTTGCGAGTGCATGAGCTATGCTTTAGAGGCATGAGTGAATTCTCGCTGCGCATGCTATCAGAAGGACGCTGCCAATCCATCGCGTGGACAACACTGCTGAGAGTGTGCAAGGACAAGCCAGGACCCCTGGAGTGGGTCCTCGATCATGCCGTCCGGCCCTTGTCCCTCCCCGGCCTCGTCCACACCACCGGCTCACTGATGCTGATGCAGCACATCTTGTTGGGGCTGAACCGCCTCAACGAATGCCTTGCTTGGGCGTGGATCGCAGGTGGCCTATCATCTTGTTCAAGGTGATCACGTCCGCGATGGTCGTGCGGTTGAATGTGGAGCTGAGGATGCCCGCAGCAGGTCGGGTTTGGTCTGACAACCAACTCGTGTCACTCGGCACAGCATGGCGCGGAACTCCTCGGCCTCCTTCTTCGTCAGCTCGCTGTTCTTTTGCGCCCGGCGCCGATTGCTGAGCTCTAGCGGCTAGCCCCTTCAGTTTCTCCAGCACGTACTTCTCCTGGTACATGAACACGTCGCTCTCGGTGATCTTCACATGTCGCTCATTGAAATCGGCCTCGTTGCGAAGCCACGTCCCCAGGTTTGAACTTGTCCTTGAGGCTTGCTCGAAACTCCTCCCCATGCTCGGCACCACCACATTGAAGTCGTCGACCTCCGCCAGGATCATTGCCTCGACTTGCTGCTCCACGGGCGTGCCCATGTGTCTTGCCGTATCGCCGAACGTAGGCGCACGGGTCGAGGAGCGTCTGTGGAAACCAGGCTGGCCACACGAGTATTCCTGAACCTCCGACCAGCATACAGGAGCGCCCGCCAGGCCGTCGACGGCCACCAGCAGCTGCGCCAGGTCGCCCGATTCGGCATCGTTGCCGGGGCATGGCTTTGCAGACAAACGTCCGGCTGCCCTGGCAAAAACATGCGAAAACTTCTCGCCCTGACCGAACGCCGAGATCCACGGCTGTCTGGAAAAAGACCTTGATCATCTCGGTTTGCGGCGTCGGGGAAAAGGTGTGCAAGTCGACTCCATCTGGATCGTCACAAAGCCATCGGGAGTTGTGTTTGAAGCATCCCCCCCGGCACCGGCTTCAGTCTCACCATCCGGCTGCAGTGCGCGCTGCGTGGGTTCGTCGTAGCTCCTGTGCCTCTTGGCCCACCAGCCTGGCGGGTTCCCGGCCTCCCCTTGCTCTAGGGTGTAGACGGTCTGGTTGGGGTGGTGCTGACAGTCAAACGCTGGACTCCTGGCGGAGAAATGCCTCGGATCTGGCGGTAATCGACGCCGCGAACAAGGGGCGGGGGCGTGGTACGCTCGACATCACATCACACCAGCGTATGGTGGCGGACATGCTCACCAAAGCAGATTTGGCCAAAGGCAATGGCGCCCTGCTGCACTTGTTGCGGACAGGAGTGACCGGAGTGCTGCACATACAGTAGATGACGACGTCAATGAAATGAGGCGATGCAAAACCAGTGATGGCAAAGCCAGAACCCGTGCCGTGCAGCCACCGAGCGCTTCAGGCGTCCTCGAAAAGGAGGAGGCAGGTGAAAGATGCGAACTAGTTGGATTCGCACTGAGCATCGCTAGCAAGGTCTGCATAGATTTGGGGAAGTTGAGTCATCCCAGCACTCTTCCATAAAATATTGTTGATGAACGCTCCTGACCTTGCGGGTGTTCTGGCTCAAGCGCGCGTTGATGGAGCTGCCCCTGTAGCTGCGCGAGCACAAGCGTGCGCCTCTGTTCGTCCACCCGTGCAATTGTGCACACAACGTGTGCTTGTGTGTGTGTGCGTGTTCGTTAGTGGCTGTTAGTGTTTGCGTTTGGGTTCGTGATTCTACAAAAATCATTCGAAGCCCTCGGGGGGACTTATTGGTTGAGACAGTGGGCCCGTTTGATTCTCCCATTCATAGACGTTAGGCAGTTAGGCCTGCAGAAAATAAGTGCATGCATTCGTTTCAATCCCGGAAAAACCCGGCTCAGAGTCCAAGAACCCTCAGACACAAGCCAGGAGCCGTAGAGATTCAGCCAAGCCAGAAGACAAAAATCGAGTCCATGAAGGGTACAATCTGGAGCAAATAAGAATGTTTGCATTTTGGAGGTTCAGCGGCGATTGGCTCCTCCATAACCTCACGGACCTTCAGTACCGACTCCACAGCGCTGCCCTCTCGCCTGTGCAGATGCTCGCCGCCAGCAAGATATTGGGATTTCGTCAGGGCAGAGCGAGGGCAAGAGGCAACCCCAATGCCGCCGGCAATTAGTTTCGCCCATCCATTTCAGTGCGGGAGCAACTTGAAGTTTGTAGCCTGTAGCACAATATAAAGATCTACATAATACAGACTCGTGTACACAGCGTGCGCACGTATATGGTTCGTTTTAGTGCCAGGCTTGTGTGTCGCCAACAGGATTGGGAAACCATTTAAAACACTTTGTCTAATCACAACAGTGTGAAGCATGGACCATGGATGAGTGTTTAAAGCCTCTCGTTTGCTTCTGAGCTCTGGCCTTCAAGCTCATGTGTGTGAGCACTTAAGTTGACTGGCCCCCCCCTCATATGACTCTTTTCAAACACGATCTCGTCCGCGACCTTGTGTTTTTGTCTCTGTGCTGCCTGCATACAGCAAGCCCCACTCCAGTCTTTCCCGTGCGGCACAAGATTGAAGATGTTGAGCTTTTCGCAAAAACCCTTCGGGGGTTGGGTTCTCCTTTAGGTTTTTCCAACCGCGTGGACTGCGATACGGGGTGTGCCGCGAGTGGTTCCACCGGTGCGGGTTGCGATGCGGAGAGCGGCGCGGGAGGTTCCATGCAGGAAGCAAGGGGCGACGCGGGTCGCGATACGGGTTGCGCTGGGGGTTTTGCCGGAACGGTTTCAGCGGTGGGGTCGTGAGGGCGGTGGGAGTCGCAATACGGGGTGAGCGGTGAGGGTCGCGATACAGGGTGCGGCACGGGGTGGTTCCACTGATGGGGGTCGCGATGGTGTTGTATGTGCGGGTTTCGCGATACGGGGTGCGGAGCGGGAGGTTCCACAGGTGGGGGTCGCGATGAAGGGTGCGGCAGCAACATGCAGCTGAACTACGCTACAATTGGAAAGAACATGCTCGCGTCACTGCTCGGGAGATTTGCTTTGTGGATAGTTTTTGGTTCCCGGGTTGACCTTGTTGTTTGAGCCTGCACAGCGTTTCGCATGTTATTTCGGGAAATTCACCGACCACAAAACAGCCTGGCAAACACCGACAGGGCCCCAAACATCAAGTTCTATCACCTCTACATGCTATAGTTGTTCAGGTTTTGGATTGTCTAGTGTATTCTAGTGTCGTGAGCCTTGCCGATGGTTTTGAATCTGCTGGTCTGTGTCTTGTATCGAGCCTGGCGATGTTCAGGTCCACCAGTGGCCCTTTCTCGGCTACGCAAATCACACCCCTGCTATCGGAGAGCACGGCCAAGGCAAGGTTTCGCGGATCCCGAGGTTTGGGTCCGAACTGGTACATGTTTTCGGGTTTCGGGCTTTTCGAAGGACCTGGAACGGCATGCTGCTCAAACTGAGCAACCCAATGACCTGGAACAACTTGCACAGGGCAGTTCAACTTCTTGGGAGGCGGAGAGCCCGATCCCTTCGAGGGAGCCCACATACCCAGAGCTGAAGAAGTTCTCGGCCGAGCAGCCGACGTATGCGGAGTACTGCCAGCTCCTAGTTCCTTTTTGCGTGACGACCGTCGATGACCAAAGACCAAGCTAGCTAAATTGGCGTCCCTGAGGGCTTAATGTCTTAATTTGAGGCGGCTGCAGCAATCAGATCATGAAGAGTTGTCCGATCAAGGATAGAGCATGCCGATTTGCTCGAGATGCGCGGTTTATGTATTCTGAAAGCCCCGGACCCTCCCGCCGGGAAGCCTGCTCAGGTATCTGGAGAACCCTAGGTTTTACGATGGCGAGCTCGACGAGTCGAACCCGTGCTATCACACTTTCAATGCAGAGATGGTGCAGGTTTGGTGTCTTTTGCCTGTAGAGTGAGCTGGTCGGGTACGATGATGATGTGAGTGAGTGCATCTCCTTCATGGCAGACATGTCGGTTGAGCTACAATCCAACCAAAAAGCTGAAGCATTTAATATGCCTGGCAGGGCCTTGAAGCGACGAAAGGAATCACAGAGGAAAGCTTCTGGTCATGTAGCGGCCGCTCCAAGGCAAGGGGCCACTGTCGTTGATGTTCGGGTGCAACTACAAATGAATCATATACTGACGTGCAGAGTTCCGAGGTGATCCACCATTTGTTGGTTTTGCAGTTGAAGTTTGGCATCGGCGCGCTTGCTTCCAAACTTGCGGTTCTGGCAGGAAAGTCAGCACAGTAGGCCAGGACTTGGAACAAACTGTACGGCAAGTCCTTTTTTATAGCAAGGAAGGATCGACGGCTTCCGCAACATCTGTTTCGGATTAGAGGCATGCACAATGCACACTGCCAGACGCCCGCTACTATGCTATGGCTATGGTGTCTGCCCCTCTTGCTTACATGCGGGAATAGAGTGGATGTACTGTCATATGATGCCACTGATGTGTGTCCCTCGCGGTCGATTGCGAAATGGAACCCGTAGGGGATGCATGGTTTGGATGTGCTGCGATGCCACCGTTGTGTGTCTTGTGTGTGTGCTGGTGAAATCGAACGTCTAAATGTTATGATGCCACTGATATGACTGATGTATGCCTGGCGGGCATGCTTGTGAAGTCGAGCGTTTACATGGGGAATGGCCGGATGCCACGTGTGTTGGGACATGGATCACTGGTGCATTCTTCACATTCCACATATTCTCGCAGCATTTTCATGGAATCGCATGATTTCTTCCTGCGGCGATGCCATGTCATATCGAGTGTAACGTTGCTGATTGACTAAGTTGTTGTGACTTGTTTGGTATGTGAATGGACTTGGCGGTTCCCGCGTCGCCATGGGGTAGAGCCGCCGTGATGCGACTTTCGACAGCGCGAGGCGACTTAGGTCCAGCACTCAGTACCACAAGCTGAGCAACACCCACCGCTGCTTGCACGGGCTTCATGCATCACGGGCTTCATGCATCGCGGACGGCCGAGCTTGGTTTCCTGCCGCGTGACCATCCGAAACGACGATGCCGCAGCACACATTTCGCAGATGTCCCACACAAAGCCTGGGTTCACGCAAAGACTACGCAGCCACGGCCATTCACCCCCGCCGGAGATCTCGAGCGTTTTCACGTTGACATCCGAAGCCCAAAATGCAATGGGGGAGCACTGCCACTGGTGTTCCTCGACGTGGTCGGGCAGTCCTTGGAAAAGAACATACACAATGTGCTTCTGGTTTGCCTGCTTGGCGCTATTCGATTTGGCATCGCCAACGCTGCCGGCCTGGAGGGAGTGGCAGTCCTTAAGCCTTAAGCATGGACGGGCGGTGTGAGATGCAAACCGAGAAGCTCACTACGTTCTGTGAAGTTTTGGCGGCTGTCATACCCCAGTCATACCTTCTTCGCAACCTCGTTGGCGAAAGGAGTGCGGAAACACTGGAAAACAGGGGGCCGTGGCAAGCCCGAGAACTTGCAACTGGTAGAAGAAATAGAGATGGCTTAATCATCTCTTAGAGTTTCAAGGGTTCGACTTTGTGCTGGCAGACCAAGCGCAGCACGAAAGGCTCGTTTGCTGCGGTAGCTGTCACATGTTGACACACGGGCCTTACGGCACGCCCACTGACTTGCCATGAAGTTTCGGGACCCTTCTTGGGTAGAGACTTCGTTCAGATCGCAGGTGTGCAGTTCAACTTGCAGGTTAAGTACGGGTAGGACATGGTAGGACTAACTTCATGCAGGTGCGCTCGCACATGCTGAGCAATGCCCAGTACCTCACGGACAAGGCAAGAGAGGTATGCTGTTCCCGCTGTTTGTAGCCTCACCGGGCATTCCAGACCTCGAAGCTTCCAAAGTCTGGGTCCGTCTGCCCTCCAACCTAGCAGTCCTTGGACATGGATCCGGATCCAGATGCTGCTGTTGCCGATGTGGACCAGGATTAAGGAGAACATGTCGAAATCTGTCTGACGCCAGGATGCAGACGAGTTGTCGACCGAGCAAGAAAAGCTCTCTGGCAAAAAGGGACAGGGCTTTTGAGAATTGCTCGCCAGCGTTCGGGATGCTATGGGTAGCTGATGTAATCCTGCCTGATGTTTGGGCACGGGCCTTAGGCTTAGTGGCTCGGCATTCATTGAAGCAATCGAAAGACGTGCGTTCGAGGCCTCCCCTCACCCCGCACTTGCTGAAGTAGGAATAGACTCCCATCGCTCTTCTATGGCCTCCGTGCTGCTGAGGAGCGCAGTGAAGGAAGCTAGATTGGAGGAGGCTGCCGCCGTCGCAGGATCTATTCCTTGGGGAAGCATGTCGGATGCCCTCATATATGGGGTAATTGGCAGGCAAACCGAAATCAAAGTGACGAAAAAGACGCGCCACAATGACCATGACTATTATCATGTGAAGGAGTATGTATATGAGAGCGAGGAGTTTGGCAAGGGGCCACACGAATGGTCAACGAGGCTGGATTGGGTCGGCGCCCAGTTCGAGGATGGGATCAGCGCTGGGAGCGCTGCGAAAAGCCGCTCCACAGCAGAAAACACGCTCGAGAAGGACGACAGCGGCAGCAGGGAAAGCGCCAGCTTGCCGCAGACGGATGAGGAACTGGAGACATGTCTGCAATCAGATCTGCTGCCTTGAGCTCCTGTTTTTTGATCCCTGTTGGGTGGTCCCTGTTTGATGTTGATTCGTGGTGGTATGGTGCTCTTACATCTGGACAGGGCTCTCCGTTTTCCGGGCTGCAGCTGCTGACAAGTATGGATAAGAGAGGTGATGCGTTTGGTCGCCATCATCTCGAAAAGATGTTGGAACAAATTCCATGCTCAGGGATTTCTATCGTTGATTGAGAACGGCTTGCTGTTCCTTGCGCACGGCGCAGCCCGATAGGCGATGAGTGTTGCCGTGATGTGTAGTCATGTGTCAAGGCAGAGAAGATTACCAATGAGACGCTGCCGGAGTTCGAAACAGGGCAGACCATTTACGAGTGCTTGGACTACTTAGGAAGTTGTTGCATGTTTTTGCTAGCTAACGATTGTCATGTTCGTGGCTTGGCCAACCCTGAGTTCCACGTCTTGTCACAGTCCAGGTACAAGCAGGCTCTTGCTAACGCGACCTGGAAGGATTGCATGCCTCTGTGCCTTGGCGGCTCTTATTGGAAAGCGTGGGCTTGAAGGTCAACTCAGCTGTGATTTGGGGTCGCATGGTGCATCATGCTGTCTGGCAAGCAGGATTTGAAACAGCCTGTCCGTTGTGCTGCCGGTGCGCGTGGAACTAGTTCGACTAGTGTTTTGAGTTATGGTGTTGACACACCGCCACTGCAAGTCCAGCCCTGCGGCTTTATCGTTTTGAAGGATTTAATTCATCCAGCTCAGAAGTTACCTGCAAGATTCCCATGGCCAGCTTGTTCCGTGCGGTCTCCTTCATGATCCCCTGTGTTTCATGGACGCACATGGGCACCACTATCTGCGAAATCGCTGAGGCAGAGGCCTGTAGCCATCCTCGCTTCGATTATAGGTTGAACCGACTGGATGCGAGATCCGAAGTGACTTGTCAAATCATCGAAGTCGTTGTACGTAGTGCACTGCTAAACTGCCAAACCGGATATGTAACCAAAACAGCCTGAGCAAGCGAGGCAGTATGGGCTGTCGAAGGTGGCTGCCTTGGGTGAGAGCTGTGTGTCGGTGCTGGGACCTAGGTGATTCCTTGATTAGACGTTGGGGCAAGGGAGTTGACGTCTAGCTTTAGGAGGGTGGTGTGGGAACTGTGTCCCGGGCTCTGTCAGACAGGCCAACCGTCAGCACACTGCTGCATGCCATTTGGGAGGTCTCCTGTGCAAATCAGGGCCCCTCTGCACCGATGTTTGCGATTTTCATGACACCAGAATCCCGGCATCGACCATTTTGACCCCGAAGCTCTTTTCCGCTATTTTCTCTTGAAGGTGATGTGTGACCTTTACTGCCTGCGGGACTCCGTGCAAGCTGGTACTTCAACCATCCTGAAGAGCCTCGAGGCCTAAGCTGCGTGGAGTCTGGCAGGGCGTTTCGCCAGCCCGTAGTCTCGTTGGAGCTCTCACGACCGTTGCAGGAATCTTCAAGCTCAGTTTCGGAGGGTTCAGGGTGGTTGATGGAGCGTGTACTTGCAAGCTTCGTGATTTTCTCTGAGACTGCAGCTGGGCTTCGTTCCACGTACCACAGCTGGGTTTCAAAGCATCAGCACGCCGAGACTCCCGGCGAGATCGTTTTGTGCAGAATCGTGCACCTTTACTTGCTCACCGAACCTTGAGTCACCAGATGCAGCGATATAATGGCCACGCTGAAGCCGAAAGACGAAACATCCGGCCTCCTGCCATTGGCCTCCAGGGGACCGGCGCTCCAGCCCGGTAAGTTCGGACTTCGAGCCTTATGGTACGGCACAAGCAACGCTTAAGAATCTGCTCCACTTCAGGTCAGGGAGGCTAAGGGTTTTAACTCTACAGGCCACGATTGTTTTGCATTCAAAGCCATGCCGAGCCAGCAACCGACAGCTCCAGAGCAGACGATGCAGAAAGCATTCTTCCAGTGTGTAGGGTTCTGCAGCACCGAGCCATGTCTCATAATGATGCCGTAGAGGTTGTGAGTGTGGCCAGTGAAGACCGGCACTAGATAGATCTTTTATCGGCACTTCGTGCTTTGTACAGTCGCTGCTGCACCTTATCTGCAACCCAGGGCTCGGTTGCGGAGATGACAGGTCCACGCAGCAACTCCTGGAGTGAAAAGCCTTGCATGCAGCTTCTGCTCTGGCCGGTTTACAAGGCCTCAGTGGCCATGAGCAGAGCAAACACGCAGTCCTCCTGAAGAAGCTGGAAGAGCCAGTGGCATGCCCCTGGAAAGCTCGACGAAGGCTTGGTTATGCCTGCTGCCATGCCAGCAGAAGAAGCACAAGCATTGCGCTCCAAGACATTCCAACCCCCACCATTGGCCGTCGGGCGAATTCCGAAACTCACGCCGGCTCTCTACAGAAATGCTAACCGCTTCTCTCGCCGGTCCGCTGCAGAGGTCCAAAGTGTTTGTCGGGCGAACGTATGTCATCGCCGATTGAGCGTGGCTCGGAGGGCTCGGCGACACACAGGCAATCAACAGCCTCCAACAAAACGACAGACAGTGCCAACTGAAAATACAAGGTGGCTTCGAAAGTCGCAATTTTCAGACAATATTGTGTTGAAAAATCGCGGTACGGTATGACCTGGAGGCTCAGACTTTTGAATCACCAGCTTCTGTAAAGCCTACCAGTAACAAAATACATACTAGCAATCTGGTAGTTCAGGTCGTTACTTTGTAGGTTGTTCATTCGGACCCGGTCGCGCTGCAGACCTAGCTGGGGGCTTAAGCTCTGAATTTGCAGGTTTTCCACCTGGGACCTGCTCACAGCTCATGTAGAAAACAGTCTGAGGTCAACATGTCAGGGGCATTCAAAATCTTAAGTGAAAGAAAGTCACGCAACCATAGGTGGAAATAACGAAACCTTATCCTTCAAGGCCTTCAAGTTCTGAAGCAAGGAATGGAAGTCGTGACAGATGCTTGACCAATGGTCCCGTTCAAAGCCCAGCACTGCTGCAGGGCTTGCAGACCAACCTCATGTACAATCTCCAGGCGACTCGGTGCTTATGACGGATCCTTACTGGCAGCAGATGCTTTTCTGGGCGTTTGGAATACCCGGCAAAAGAGGCTTTGCTCGACTACCAGACTCAGTACATCCTCTGGGCACTCGGCACTGTGCTCACCTCGGCTCCGACAGCCGAGGCCTGTAGCATTGGGGGTTCAAGCCACGCCATGACACTGCGCATTCTTCAACGCGGAATTCCAACGGGAAGTTTACGTGGAAGAGCTCGCAAGTTTTGAGGGATTCCAGGAGGAGGCAGGGACTGCCCAAGTCCCTCTCAACATCCCGAGAAGTCTCCGAGAACATCATTGCCCCCTCCATCACGAAGCTCCTTAGTAGCCAGTGTAACCAAAGCTTCAAGAAAATGAAGAAGCCCGAGAGTAACAACCGGTGGTTTGTACGTTTCCGGGCTTCACCTGGTAGCTCGAGACGAGGGCTCCTATTGGGGAGGCTTCGTCTGCGTGATTCACTTGCTCTGCTGCTGAATCTACGGGGAGTTTTCTGATGTTGACGAAGCCAACACCATGCTGATTTCTCACCAATTGTGCTTGCAGTTTCATGGCCGACGATCGTAGGAGGAAACCAGGGTGGCAACAAAAACGCTGGGAGTGCCGAAGGGGCACGGCTACTAGAGTCTTTGACAGTGCCCCGCTGATGCTGAGTCGGTGCAAATTGCAGCTCTCGCACGGATTGTCCCCCAATTCGGCCCTTCTTGTCTTCGAAACACTGCTCCTGCAGGATGTTGACATTGTCGAAAAGCGCAGCGATGTACCGGAGGCTAGCACGTTGCTTTCAGAGCTGGAGCAGATCGACTTCGACCAGATCAAGGCCCAGATACTCAGGCTGCTTTTGCAAGTGCACTGGTTTCACGTTTGCGGCAGTGCCAACACTGGACAGCGGGCATCGTCACCTCAGCCAGGGACGGCCACCACCACCAATACCATGCCAGCACCACGACGACAACTACTATCCTTATTGGTGGTGGTGCTGCTGCTGCTGCTACTGCTGCTGCTACTACTACTAGTACTACTAGTACTACTACTACTACTACTACTGCTACTACTACTACTACTACTACTACTACTACTACTACTACTACTACTACTACTACTACTACTGTCCGGTTTACCACAACGACCATGACTGGTGACTACTCCAGTCGAAACTGCCTGGATTGGTTTGCAGATTGTTGGTGCAATTGGCCGCGTGCGTGCTTAATTGTGTTTGTGTCCCAAGCATGCCTCGCCTGCCCCGTATTGCCCGTCCCTTGCCTAGTTTGAACACCTTGGGGGCTGAATTTAAAAGCACGCCTAGTTTGAGCGATCGTGGAAAAGGAAGTTCACATTGAGGGCTGAACTTCCGTGAATCTGGGTGTCTTGGGGCTGTCGGAGTTGAGAGACTGCTGCGCGCTGTCTGCAACTGCGCAGCCGAAAGTAGCATTATCTAGTCTAGCCGTTTATTGTAGTGCGCTGGAGGTACAGCATAGAAAGTGCGCGAGCAGGAAGGAAATCATAGATGTAGCTTGGACCGTCTGCATTGCACGACCCGAAGCCGTCGCCGAAGCCGCAACCTCGAAGTTCAAGTCTGCGGAATTATGCGGCAGGTAGCGTGTAGCGAAGTACACCTGCTGACTCCAAGAGCTTGAACCTTCCTGCTGCACCAAGTTCTTTGGATGGTGCAAAACTGTAGCTGTAGCACACTGCCCTGTGGGATAAAACAGTATGCCTACATGCTTGACCAGGCGACAGTCCCCAGGCTATCCCGCGACATCCTCCAGTGGCACCAAGCAGCAGGACTGCGAAGCATCGCTGCGGTTGGAGTTGAAGCTACAGAGACTGGCGTAATGTTGCACGGAGTTGCTATGTTTGCATGTTCTGGGATTCCTGAAGCAACAAGCTTCGAACAACATCGCCTGTGGCAGTTGCATCGCATTCCGTTGTCAAAGGCGTCTTACTCCTTCCATCCCTCATCCCTGACACCACCTTACCACTCGTGGCGGCCTTGTCAGGAGCGGTCCTAAATCTACCATTAGTCGCCGAGGAAAGGCTCAAAGCCTGCAGCTGTTGTTTCATAGTGTCGTTGCACCTTCCACAGCCCCTGATGAGTTTCGATAGGTAGATGATGGGAAGACAGTGAGCCCGAGGAAAAGATAAGCAAGACCACTGTTTGAGGGATGCTCGACCCCTCAACCGCAAGCAAGGCCGTGCGCCATTGTTCGGCACTCGAGCCTCTCATTCAAGCTGGGCTGCTAGGGAATTGTGAAGCCCACACGTACACTTCTTGTTTTGTTTCCTCGTGTGTGTGTGTGTGTGTGTGTGTGTGTCTTAGGGTTCTCTGGTGTTTCTTTCGGAGCAGGCTGTATGCTGTGTGTCGGAAAGATCGGAAGGCCACAGGTTCAGGCCGGGCCTGAAGCTAGGAAGCTATTGGCTGCAACTGTAATAAACTCATGAATCAATGAATCAATCAATACCTGGCCTGGTAACTACACACGGAAACTTCCAAAGTCCTCCATTCCTGCAATCCAGCGAAGCACCCAGCTCTCCATAGCCACTGAAGCTGACGTCCTTCTTGAGGGCAGGATTTGCACAAGCGCCTTGCGTCCCTGACCATGAATGTGTCCAAAGAGAGCTGGCCCCATCGGGTGAAGGCACTTCTGGCGACCAGCCCGGGGTTTCGGTGGAAGTTGGCAATCCGGAGTGTAAGAGCTGAGCTAGCTCCTAGTCCTAGTTCCTCAATAGCAATGGGGCTCGCTATCATTCGTCCACGACACAGGATACTAATTGGCAAGTGCAAAAACATGTCTCACACATCGCTTGTTTCGAGTACGCCATGTTTGCTCATGAGTTTGCGGGATCCTTAGTCCCGAAAAAATCCAGACTTGCTCCAAGATGCATTTCTTCTCAGCGGTATAAGGGGTTGTTTGTACCTGCCATAAAGTGGTAGCTGTTGCTAGTTTTGTGTTAGCAACCAGCCCGTGGATACGCTTTTGCTGCTGCTGCTGCTGCTGCTGCAGATTGCTGTAGAGCACAGGTGTTGCACATGGCTCGAAGTAGGACATCGCGTTCAACATGTGACATTCATGGGGTGGAAATGTGGGTTGAGCTACAAGATTCTTTATCATAAAGGAGATTGTAGCGACGCCGGTTTCAGAATCAGGGTTGAATGGGGTTTAGTACGGTTGAGTGTTTGGGCTTTGTAGAGCCTGGTGTCAGGATGAGGGCTTGGTTTGGGGTCGAGGTTTGGTGGGTTTCGCACAGAGTCAGCTTAAGGGCTTAGGGCAGAGTGTGGTTTGGGAGACCAGAGTTGAAGGGAGTTCACAGGCAGAGGGCTCAGAGAGAGTTCGGGTTGAGGGTTGAGGGTTTGCATGGACTGGGGTTAAGGGGGTTTCACAACGTTATTTTTGGGATGATTGTCTTATTCTGGGTGGAGCGTTTCGGGGTCAGGGCTGTGTTCAGGGCAGCGACCCACCCAAGACGATCCGGATGGCGACAAACTGACATGACTGGCAGGGTACAGGATACTTCAATCAGACGCCAAGACTCGCCGCACATCACAGCTACAGGCACCTGTTGACAGGGGCGACCTGCATGACTACTAGAAGACACATTTGCTTTTCTCGGTGCTCGGGGGCTGGGGCATGTCGGATACTGCAAGGTGCCGAAACTGCTCCGTTCTGTACCTTTTATGCTGCCTGAGGTCACAAGACTCAGAAGGCCAGGTAGACTTCCGATCACGTTTGCTAGGCATTGCCAGACCAGATGTCGAAAGTTGATGCTGGCTGACAATCGTGTGGCTTTTGCATCCTGTGGGGGTGGCTTGTGTTCCGACTCAGAAAGCCGCGCGAGACGAGAACGATTGCGAACTCTGATCCGCGAAGTATTCGAGCTTTTTGTGGTAACTTATGCGTTGGGATCATCGAGTTTCCTTTTGGCCTGGTGCCAGTGTCGAGTGTACAGCAAGTCTACGTACAAGCGGTGAGCAAAGCTGATTGCAGCGATGCCCGTTGTGAAGGATGCTCTCCAGACTCTTTGCCATGGCGTATCTGCAAGAGTGTACAATGGCTAGAACCTCAACGGGATGAAGCCCTGTCGGATTGCAGGCCGCGCGTGGCATGCTGCACCACTTTCAGGCGAGGGTTGCATTCAGGCTTCGATCGGAATTGGCACTAGAGGCTCTGGATGCCCAGAAGGGTTTAGGGAAGCAAGACAGGGCCGTCTGAAAACACTTCCAGGCAAGTTTCCATCGGCGCCTCCAGATGGGAGCCAGGGAGCCGCCGATAGTCGACAAGATCCGCTTGCTTCGCGAGGCCAACTTGATGGGCGTGATTTTCTTAGCTTGAGAGTTAGAATAGTGAGGATCTTTCTGGGTTCAAACACCGCAGCATTGCTGGAGGTTGTTGATTTATGGGACCGTTCAGTGGGTGGTTTTATGCACATGAATCCACCATGTTTGCCCAAGACTTGGCTCAGATTTGTCTGGCACTGTGGGCCTCTCGTCCCGAGTTCCTTGGATCCCTTGGAAAAAGTTGTGAATGAAGACATGGTATGACTTGGCATTGAGACATAAGATGTGTTCCCGCCCTGCTTGATATGAGATACTCGCAGCTTTCAGAGACCCTGTCTCCACGTAGCCATCCAGTTGCACTACAGTGAATATAGTGAGAGGTGTGGTCTCATGATTTGAGACAAGCGGGCGGAGTAGAGGTGTGAAATGATTCCCCAAGCAGTGTGGAAACACGGGTTCCTGCGTTATAGGGGTTAGATGATGGGGCATGTTGCGCGGAGGACATTCTTGACTAACATGGCGTTCTCTCCAGTCCCGCGCTGGCCTCGTCTACCTCGAATCTACTGCTTCGGCGCTCTTGTCACCGGAACCCTCACGACCGTGCCGTGGTGTTTCGGGGTATCTGGCGCTGAACCTGGAAGTCCATAGATCTGTCGAAGTTTGATAGGTCGTGGCATGGCCATTCACTACTCGTCTTTCAGTTCCTCGGGGGTTTCTTGAAGTTTCCAAACTTCCGAAGTTCGCACTCGTGCTCCCCCAGCAGGGTTATCTTGGACGTGACGCGTCTTTTCGTGTCTGCCTGCCGACGTCGTCTCGCCAGAGAACCATGGCAAGCCTGAGGCTAAATGAACGGTTATAGAGTCAGAGGGGGAAGACAAATAGAGCTGCCCCCCTACAACCTTCGAGTAGTAATTCCTTACCCAATGTCGAAAACGGCGATGATCCGGTGGTATTGTTTAGCGATGAGGGAAAGCGGTGCCATTCCTGCTTCGGAACCTACGTACTGCTACTGCCAAGATGCGCGGGGAAACGACCAAGACTTCTCCGATTCGACCTCAAACCCTGTACCTTGAGATTAAAGACTCTTACGGAAGAAAGCGTGCAACCGCCATTTGTCGCGAGGGTACAGCGCAGCACCACAAGTTGGTCAACAAGGCTTGGACTTGTAGACAATTGTAGACAACACGAGTCGTACTAGCATTCGCGAGTTTAAGGCTTGAGAGGCCAAGTTGAATGCTTCGCACGACGGTTCTTTCCGCAATTTGAAGAACCCGTGCTTCGTATGTTCAGACTCACGGGTTGAACATGCGAGCCGTATCCTTCAGTCAGTGAAGTTGCCAGCGAAGTTGTCTGTTTCTTGCATGCATGTGCTCCCCCATGGCTTAGGCACGACGCGCCATCATGATCCCCGGAATGCGAAGGACATGAATAATCCACACAACATCCTGTCCTCTATACCTGATACCGGGATGTCTCGGCTTGGCCTGGCTTTGCCCAAGTTGAGCCTATGTCCGTGCCGTTGTCCGTGTAGTGGTTGGGTCAGGCCCAAGCTTTGCAATTCCACCTCCATCGCTCCCGCTCACTGCCGGAGTCGCTTGGCAGGGCATTGGGTCAGGCGTCAGCCTGGAAAGCGCGGTGTCTGTGTGTTGTATTGGCAACTGAGCTTGGAGACTGATCGATTCAGGGCTTGTGATGGGTCTGTTAGGCTGCCGAGCATGTGACAGCGTCTGGCTCCTTGACATGCCAGCCAGGTTTTCCAAAAGCTCATTCGTTGGGTAGCATACAACATGAATCATGAAGGACGCTGTTCGGCCGCGTCACAAAAGTACTGGGTCGTCACGACTTGTGACTTGTGTTCTTCTGTCACCCGAAACCGACAACTTCAATGTGTTTCAACCTAATTGCAGCACTCCAGGCCTCGGTAGCTCAATACCAAGCCGCAACTGTCTACACATCGTGCATGCAGTGCTGCCACCGGTGCGCAGTGGCAAGAGAGAGATAAAAAGGATACCATAATATTTAGGTTAACCTTTACTATGAGTATACTTAAACGTACTATAATATCTACTATTCTAGAAAAGCTAATATATATATATATATATACATGAATACATATGTATATAATTATGTAAGAGAAACCCTCGTGTACTATGTGATTGAACCGTGGCTGTGCTGGGTTCCTAGTCTTCAATTTTTCGACATTCCGAAAGATTGAAAACAATGAAAGCCGGTCCTTGGTTTTCATGGTTTTCACTGTTTCGGCATTCCAAAAGTTTGAAAACTATGAAAGCCGATCCTTGGTTTCATAGTTTTTAAAGTTTTCATAGTTTTGATAGGTGTCATAGCTTCGAAGTTTCGGCAGCAAGGTTTTCATAGTGTCGGGATGCCGAAAAGCTTGAAAACTACGAAACAATGAAAACTATGAAAAACTATGCAAGCCGATCCTTGGTTTTCATAGTTTTCATTTTTCTGCATTCCGAAAAGTTTGAAAACTATGAGAAGAAGGTCGATCCTTGGTTTTCATAGTATTGTTTTTTGCATTCCGAAAAGTTTGAAAACTATGAAACATTGAAAACTATGAAAGTCTATCCTTCGTGTTCATAGTTTTTCAAGCCTTCATAGTTTTCAACTTTTTTCGGCAGTAGGGTTTTCATAGTTTTCAATTTTTGGGCATTCCGAAAGTTTGGAAGCTATGAAAGCTATGGAACCCTATCCTTGGTGTTCATAGTTTTTACAGTTTTCATAGTTTTCATGTTTTTTCAATTTTTCGGCAGCAGGGTTTGCATTGCTTTCAAATTTCGGCATTCCGAAAAGTTGGAAAACTATGAAAACTATGAAGGCCTATCCTTGGTTTTCACATTTTCAAAGTGTTCTTACTTTTGTAGTTTTCACAGTTTCGGCATTCCGAAGAGATTGACAACTATGAAAACTATGAAACCCGATCCTTGGTTTTCATAGTTTCAAAGGTTTCATAGGTTTGATCGTTTTCTTAGTTTTTAAAGTTTCGGCAGCAAAGTTTTGATAGTTTTTCAAGTTTTCATAGTTTTGACAGTTTTCTTATTCTTCAAAGTTTTGGCAGCAAGGTGTCATAGCTTTTCAAGTTTCGGCATTCGGCAAAGTTCGAAAACTATGAAAACTATGAAAGCCGATCCTTGGTTTTCATAGTTTGCAAAGCTTCGGCATTCCGAAAATTCTGAAAACTATGACAACTTTGATCCTTGGTTTTCATAGTTGTCAAAGTTTCGGCATTCCGAAAAGATTGTATACTTTGAAAACTATGAAAACTATGAATCCCGATCCTGGGTTTTCATAGTTATGGTAGTTTTCACAGTTTTCAGTTTTTCGGCAGCAGGGTTTCATAGTTTTCAATTTTTCTGCGTTCCGACAAGTTTGAAAACTATGAGAACTATGAGTCCGATCCTTGGTTTTCATGTGATTCAGTCTTGTCATAGTTTTGATAGTTTTCAATTTTTCGGCATTCAGAAAATGATTGAAACTATGAACACTTTGAAAACTATGAAAGCCGATCCTTGCTTTTCCTAGCTTTCAAAGTTTTCATAGTTTTCAGTTTTTCGGCAGCACGGTTTTCACTGTCTGAACCGGGCGGGGTTTAGATAGTTTAGGTAGTTTGGGGGGGCACGGGGGAGGGCCCAAACTATCTAAACCCCCCTCTCTCCAGGCCAGCGGGAGCCCCAAAACTATCTAAACTATCCAAACAATTTAAACTATCTCAACCGGGAGGGGTTTAGATAGCTTAGATTGGGGGGCACGGGGGAGGGCCCACACTATCTAAACTATCTAAACCGGGAGGGGTTTAGATAGTTTGGATAGTTTAGATAGTTTGAGGGGCTCCCGTTGGTCTCGAGAGAGAGGGGTTTAGATAGTTTAGATAGTTAGGGGGACACGGGGGAAGGCCCAAACTATTTAAAGTATCTAAACCCTCCTCTCTCCAGGCCAGCGGAACCCCAAAACTATCTAAACTATCTCGGCTATAAAAATTATCGAAACTATCTAAACCGGCGGTGGTTTAGATAGTTTAGAGAGTTTGGGGGGCACAGGGGAGGGCCCAAACTATCTAAACTATCTACACCGGGAGGGATTTGGATAGTTCAGATAGTTTGGATAGTTTAGATAATTTAGATAGTTTGGGGGGCTCCCGCTGGTCTGGAGAGAGATGGGTTTAGATAGTTTAGATAGTTTGGGGGACACTTGGGAGGGCCCAAACGATCTAAACTATCCAAACCCCCCCTCTCCAGGCCAGCGGGGGCCCCAAAACTATCTAAACTATCCAAACTATCTAAACCGGGAGGGGTTTAGATAGTTTGGGGGAGCACGGGGGAGGGCCCAAACTATCAAAACTATCTAAACCTACCTCTCTCCAGGCCAGCGGGAGCCCCAAAACTATCTAAACTATCTAAACCCCCCTCTCTCCAGGCCAGCGGGGGCCACAAAACTATCTAAACTATCCAAACTATCTAAACTATCTAAATCGGGAGGGGTTTAGATAGTTTAGTTAGTTTGGGGGGACACGGGGGAGGGCCCAAACTATCAAAACTATCTAAACCCCCTTCTCTCCACAGCGGGAGCCCCAAAACTATCTAAGCTATCCGAACTATCTAAACGATCTAAACTATCTAAACCGGGAGGGGTTTAGATAGTTTGGATAGTCCAGATAGTTTGGGGGACTCTTGTTGGTCGAGAGAGAGGGGTTTAGATAGTTTAGATAGTTTGGGGGACACGGGGGAAGGCCCAAACTATCTAAACTATCTTAACCCCCCTCTCTCCAGGCCAGCGGGAGCCCCAATACATCTAAACTCTCTCAACTATCCAAACTATCTAAACTATCTAAACCGGCAGTGGTTTAGATGGTTTAGATAGTTCGGGGGGCACGGGGGAGGGCCCAACCTATCTAAACTATCTAAACCGGGAGGGGTTTAGATAGTTTAGATAGTTTGCATAGTTTAGATAGTTTGGGGGGCTCCTGTTAGTCTGGAGAGAGATGGGTTTAGATAGTTTAGATAGTTTGGGGGACACGGGGGAGGGCCCAAACTATCTAAACTATCTAAACCGGGAGGGGTTTAGATAGTTTGGGGGGCACGGGGGAGCGCCCAAACTAACTAAACTGTCTAATCTCAAACACCCCAAGCAGGAACGCCACACTATACATAAAGGTTTCTCTTACATATATACATATATATATATATAGATATACATATATATATATATATATATGTATGTAGGGTCACCCCCCCCCCATGACAGACCATCCCCTTTAAAACACCGCCCCCACCGACGACGTCGTGCTTTTCCAGAGTGTCGAGTTTGAGCCCTGATTTCGTCTGTCCAGAACGACACTAGAGCCAAAACCAAAAAACCAAAGTCTCACGGAGAATGCCGGAACAGTTTTGTGTTTTTGGATTTTTGTTTTTTTGGTTTTTTGGTTCAAAGCCTGAACTTGACCGCTGCGTTTGGGCTTCAAACAAAAGGGTCGATGATGTACCATGTCCTCCATGCTAACACGGTGTCTCTTGAGCACATGCACATGGACACGTATGTGTATGCATCCTAAACTTCCTGCGAGAAGTGCGCGCAAAACATGGCACTGTGGACAAAAGAGAATTGCCTGTAGAATACCTTACAGAATACCCTTTCTAAAAACCTAAAAAGGAGTTCATACAACATACGGTACGACCTTCTAGAATAACCCCCTACATACCTTGTATAAAGCTGTTTGAACACCCTCTAAACTAGACAACACCTGTTAGAACACGGTTTAGAACAACACCTAGATATACCTTCTAGGCTAGCGGAATCTAGGATCCGTGAACAAATCGAAGCCTAAGGGATACACATAGAGAACAGAATACCTGATAACATCTCCCTTTACATACCCTATAGAATACCTTCTACAACACATTGTGGAATAACCTATACAATAGCTTTTGGACTACCTTATGCAATACTTTACACAATTCCCCCGATGTGGCCTACATATACCTTCTAGAACACCGTCTGGAATACCCTGTAGAATACCTTCTATGAGACCGCCTATACCCCTTGCATAATTACTATATATATATATATACACACACACCATATAGCATGCCTGTAGAATACCTTCTGGGATACCCCTTATAATCCTCTGCAGAATACCC